TTGAAGATGCTACCAGCTAAGTTAGCCTAATAGTAGGTGGGCCCTACTCCTATATAACTGGCATCCTTATAAATGATGAGAAGATACAAGGAGAGACAGGGAGACAGAAGAAGGATGCTGTGTGATGATGCAGCAAATGCAGCTACAAGTCAAGGAAGGTCAATGAGCACTGGGGGCTACCACAAGCTAGGAGAGATGCGTGGATCAACTCTTCTCTCAGAACCCTCAGAAAGAATCAACATGGCTGACACCTTAATTTGGACTTCCAGACTCCAGAACTGTGAGACAAATTTGTGATGGTTTCTACTGCAGCCCTAAGAAATGAACACAGAACAGACCCCATACTCAGAGACTGTGTAGTGAACCCTCCCTCCCAAAGCAGCAAGTCCACGGGCACTTCTAGACCATCTACTGTGTCCCTGAGGAGAGCCAACAGTGGACATCACCTCTGCCAAGTATGCCGGTTGCTAGGGCATTTCAGGAGTAGTGGATTCGGGTCAGGGAGCACATCCAGTGGCATTGGAGGCCCAGATGAGGCATGAGACCAGGACTAGTGGGCCAGGAGCACAGAACGTTGGATATTGCATTAATTCAACATAAGCGCTTTTCCCAAGCAGGTGAGATGATACACTAAGGGTCAAGTGCATCACAGGTCTGGGAAAACAGTGCATGAAATAGTAGGTTATTGGTTCAAGGCCAATTAGGGAAAGAAGTAAAGTTGGTGTGAGGAGTGGAGACTGAGCCTGGGAGCTAATCGAGGGTCATGGGTGATTGGAGAGAAGCTGCAGCTTCTGGACTCTGTTCATTCATCCATATCCCACTCTTGTCCATCCGTATCTGAAGGATGTGGACACTAGACGGAGCGCCTTCCCTGGTACGCAGGGTTTGGGTGTTGACTCTGTCTATTCTTGAAAAGGCTCCTCTTCTTTTTTACATTAATTCCCATTAAGCCGCCCACCCTGGGCCACTTACCGACTTGTCCCGGGAGATCTTCTTGAAGATGACATGGTTTGGGGTCGACTTACTCATCTTGCCTCCGAATGCCATGTTTTCTGTCCCTGGCAACTTCTTTCACAATCCTAAATATCAAATCAAGAACAAGCTTTCCTCAGAAGGTTGGAAATAGAAATACATTATGATCTAGCAATTCCTTTACTTGGTATTTACCAACAAGAAATATGAGCCATAAGACCAGTAGATATATGCACACCAATGTTCATAGCAGCACTAGTTACAATAGCAAAAAGATGGAGACAGCCAAAGTGCCCATCAACTGAAGGATGGATAAACAAACTGTGGTGCATACACACAATGGAATATTATGCTACCTTGAAGAGTAACAAGGAAGCT